CACCAGCATGCTCACCAAAACCAGTAGCTCCAGTTTGATCCTCAGCAGAAAAACAGGGCACGGCTGATATTGATCCAAACAGTGAAGCTGGTACGCCTCACTTGTTGGATTAGTCGCTCCGTCCCGGCTCCCACCGCCACGCGTCCAGGCCGGCAAGTCCACCCCAGGTGCTCCGTCCAAACACGAGGGATGATCTGAGGTCCGAGGGACTCCATCCACATCCACCACTCATTGAAGCCTTCAGATTTTGCTCCTGATGTCTTGGTTTGCATCTTGATTATTGATTGGAAACTATTAGTAAAGGTTTAGTGGTTTAAAATTGATTTTTATTCTGAGAAGCTTTGATTAAAACAGTGGATGTTCTGATCAGCTGATAAACATTTCAACAAAGAAAATGACAAACTTATTCTACTAATAAAAAGATGAAACCAGATTTTAAAAATGGCTCTTTGTGCAAGTAACAGAAACTTGTTTTTGATTTTAAAAATTCAATTTTAATTTTCAATCAGAACATCTGATACAAAGATGTGTTTGGTCTGCTTCCCCTCCGTAAGAAGATTAAAGTGTCAGAAGTTTTAATCCGTGGTTTGAGCAAAGCTGTACGGATAATCCTTACTGGTAAGTGGTTTATGAGTGTATAAAAAGAGGATGAAGCCGTTTGATTTGGCAGAAAGTTTAGAGTCAAAATGGGGAGACATTTCCACCTGTACGAGAACATCTCCAAAGTCAACCCCTTTGAGGGGCCCCAGTATTACCTGGCCCCAACCTGGGCTTTCCACCTGCAGACCCTCTTCATGGGCCTGGTCTTCTTTATTGGTACGCCTTTAAACTTTATCGTYCTCGTGGCCACCATCAAGTACAAGAAGCTCAGAGTTCCTCTCAACTACATCCTGGTCAACATCACCCTGGCTGGATTCATCTTTGTCACCTTCTCCGTCAGCCAGGTGTTCGTCGCCACCATGAGGGGCTACTACTTCCTGGGTTACACCTTGTGTGCCATGGAGGCTGCCATGGGCTCCATAGCAGGTAGATCCTCGGTGTGAAGACTCCATGTTGTTAAAAGTTACAGCAGATTATCAGTCCCCCAGGATAAAGCAAACAAACAAGGCAAAAAGAACAAAAATGTAAAAATGGACTTTGAAGCTGGAGGTAAAACTAGTTTTTGCTTTTTGTTCAGGAAGTTTTTGTTGTTAATGCGATGTTTCTCCACAGGTGTGAGGGTTTGATGTTGCTGCAGGTGTCAGTATGTGACAGATGATGTGTCTCTGCAGGTCTGGTGACAGCCTGGTCCCTCGCCGTCCTGTCCTTTGAGCGGTACCTGGTCATTTGTAAACCATTTGGAGCCTTTAAGTTTGGCAGCACTCACGCTGCAGCTGCTGTTGTCTTCACCTGGTGCATGGGGGTGGGCTGTGCCACGCCACCTTTCTTCGGCTGGAGCAGGTAGCCACCATCACACCCAGGTCAACTGTCATTCTGCTCTCATGGGTCCTGCTCCTCAGGTCATGGCATGTTTGTGTCCAGGTACATCCCCGAGGGGCTGGGCTGCTCCTGTGGACCCGACTGGTACTCGAACTGTGAGGACCGCAGCTGTGGYAGCTACATGAAGTTCCTGCTGGTCACCTGCTTCATCCTTCCTCTGAGCATCATCATTTTCTCCTACTCCCAGTTACTGGGAGCTCTGCGAGCTGTGAGTGGAACAGTGATGATTGGCTAACGAGTGAGAGGGGCTGGATCATAACAACTAAACAGAACTAAAGCCTAAGTTGTTCAAGCCTGTTACAGAAATGATTAACTGAAAACAGGTTCTTCACTTGACAAAGATCCAAGTTAGAAGCAAATGTCTGGAGAATCAGACAGATTTTTGCTCTGGAGTAAAGCTTGTCGATGTGTTTTCTGCAGGTTGCAGCCCAGCAGGCAGAGTCAGCGTCCACCCAGAAGGCTGAGAAGGAAGTCTCCAGGATGATCATCGTCATGGTGGGGTCCTTCGTCAGCTGTTACGGGCCGTACGCTCTGACAGCTATTTACTACGCTTACTCTCAGGATGAAAACAAAGATTATCGCCTCGTCACCATCCCCGCATTTTTCTCCAAGAGTTCGTGTGTTTACAACCCGCTGATCTACGCCTTCATGAACAAACAGGTGAGGACTGTAGAATCGGCAAACACACTCATCTCCTTGTACTTTGAAGATTTCTTGAAGACGTTTTATATTTTTGTTGCCATTGACCCAGTTATAAGTCCTACTGTCCATTTTAAAACTGTAAGGCATCGGTTCTGTTTGGGGATGAAGCTAATCTCATCTTTTAATCCTGCAAGTAAAATCTGAGGCCACCTGGAGAGAGCTGAGGAGTAAATATGACTTTCTCCGTCTTTCAGTTTAACGGTTGCATTATGGAAATGGTGTTTGGCAAGAAGATGGAAGAAGCATCTGAAGTGTCTTCAAAGACTGAGGTGTCCACAGCGTCTTAGTGTTTGGAGCAAAACTCTGAAGGACTTTGGACTTCCCCTAAATGAACTTTTAAAGGTCTGAGTTCAGAGGATTCAGGGTTACTCAGAAAATGTAAATACAGTTTATACTTCAGATTTCAGTGTTGACTGCTGACATTTATTTCATCATAGAGTGCATTTATTTAGAGAAACAGCAAGAAAAATAAAAATAAAAATGTTGAATTAATCTGTGTTTTCACTTTTTACAAAAGTCAAATCAAAACCTTTGACAGCTTCATCAATGTGTGTGTGTGTGTGTGTGTGTGTGTGTGTGTGTGTGTGTGTGTGTGTGTGTGTGTGTGTGTG